TTTTTTTTTTTTTTTATATATATATATAAATGGTTTTTGTGAAATACCAGAAGGAATGAATATCAACATATATATTTACATTCACAATCAACCAATGTATATGTCAAAAATTATTTTGTTTTAATACAACCCTTATTAGTATTTACATTCTAGACTGAAGTCATATATCATACAACTGTATTAACTGCATAACTGCCTATGAGTTAGTAGAACTTATGAACCAAATTAAATTGCACAACTACCTAGTTTTGCAGCACATCTTAGATTGATTAAAAAAGAATAGAACACACAAATTCTTGTATGAATCAATCTAACCATTAGAATGTCATTTTTGATGATTTCTAAAGTACGTTACTTATACATAAAAATACACATATTTGTTGAAAATATGAAACTACCTAACGATCATACAATCTCGACAATGTCAAGATTTTACATCCATCGGTCAGACAAATTGCTCATCAGCCTGCTGAATGAAAATTTTTGGAAGTTTGAAAAAAATGAAAATTTACAGTTGCAAGCGTAAAAAATATCGAGAAGCTATGTTTTCACCATGGCCAACCTTAAAAATTTATCGGCTGTGTCTAGCCTTTCTCAAGGTTTTCACCATGCCTCTCGTGATTTTACAGAACCGAAACACGTTCATTAGTGACCCTACTGGAGGTACTGTAAACAAGCTGTAGAAACCCAATGGGAAGATTTGCTTGACCTGGAAAAAAATGAGCAAGTTAAACGATTACAAAACTAGTAATTGTGAAACATTTACAGTCTGACTATCTTGATGGTTGATGGCATCCCAAATTTGTACTTTTTCTTGGATTCTACAATGCGTGTTGTGTGATCTTGTACTTTGAGAATTTCAGTAATATGAACAAATATACCAAATATTTTCAGGACGCCAAAGGATTACTTATGCTATCGATCTAACTTCCAATCGTGCCGAGTTTTTTTTTACAACTTTGCATCTTACATTTAACATTCTCATCATCTGTTTTGTGAATGTTACAACTGCTCAAATGAAGAGATGGAGCAATTTGTGATAGTTTGAAAAGTTTGTGGTGTAATTGCTAAATACTTTGTGTTATCACCAAATTCTATCGGGTCAACTAATAGCTGGGGCAGGCAAACATGAGACAATATCAAACCACTTTATTATTATTATTTTTCCTTTTTTTGTGACTATTAAAGTTACCTGGTTATTCACTAATCGATTCAAAATTTAAAGGGTAGTTCTTGTGATTATCTCGATTAATTTGACTGTAAATGATTTAAGCCACTTTTATCTCATAAATTAATGATTTTATCTTATACACTAATGATCTCAGCAATATTTAGATTATCGAGTAAACTAGCATTTACGACTGAAGGTACAAGAATGATAATTATTAACCAGTAAACAAGCACTCACCTGATCATAATGGATAAAAATGTGGTCGAAGAAGAACGTGAACAAACCGATCCTTGCCACCTGAAAATCGTACGTGTAGATTGTTATATACATCAAAAAGTATGAACTGTAGAGTAGAAGAAAGTTCCACATTCACAGAGGATGTATACAAAAGTTCAGATGGACAGTTTCAAACAGTAAACACTAAGTAAACCTAGTCGATGGACAGCCATTCATTATTAGTTACTAATCTGATAATGTCCCAACTTGCAATGACAGTGTGTAACCTTAAAAAAAACAAAGAATATTCTCAAAATCAATAAAGTTAGACAGAACATACCAACCACCAAAAGAACAATGCCACACCATTGTAAATCATAATCGGGTCTCGTTAAAATAAATTATGGAAGACCGTCATTCACTAGGTGGGACAAAATTTTCACATTGTTCCAAAGCAACATCGAGCTAATCTTAAATGAAGCAAAGGTCATCTAGTGACAAATTACAAGAATAGTTCCGAAAAATGAGAATAGAAAGGAAAAAATGGGATAGCCCATGTTTAGATATATACATATTACAAACTCACAATAAATTGCATGTTTATGGTGTATACTTGGCTTTGTTTGTGCTGAGTTTATTGTATGAAGTTTGTAATGTGTTGCAGTCTTGTAGAGTCTAGAGACTGATTGATAGTAGTAGTTGTTACCAAATCGAGCTCATTATACAAATAGTTTTACTGAGAATAGTGTTCAAAGTCATCCTTACAAGTTTTTAATAAAAAAATTAAGCTCAATTCACACATTTTTTTTAATATATTATCCAACCCAATTGATGTAGCCGGGGCGTTCGCGGGGGAGTTCACGAATGACGTGGAGGCCGTGGTCCAGGCGAGGCGCCCCGCTGGAGATCTCCAACCACCGTCCGGCGACGAAGACGGCAAGGATACCATCTCGGAGGTGAATCCCTTCGGCGAGTGGCAACCTCCGCACATTGAGGTTGACCCCTTCGTTGCATACGGCGGCCGTGACATGTGGCGACGGGGCCCGGTCTTCGTGGACGGCGACGATCAACGCAGTGATAGGGGCTGGCGCGAGGAGGCAGCCTTCGATGGCGGATATCGTGTCCGACATGTTTGGGGACTTGGTCGCGAATATGGTCAATGGGAGGGCCCGTTTCGCGTTGACATCTCCGAATTCGACGAAGAGCAAGTTGACGGGCCATTGTACGATGGTCCACCGGTGTTTGATGAAGAAACCGAGGAGGTGAAGGAGCGTCTTACCGGTGAAGTGGACAGTCTCTACGACGGTCCGTCGATTTTCAATAAAGAGCCTTCGGGCCCGGAGGAATTCAATCATGTTTCGAGTATCGAAATTCAACTGTTGGAAGAATTTGGTATTCAATTGGTAGTTATTCTATAGACCCGAGATTTTCCCCCATGAGAATTTGTTGCGACCTTGCAAACAAATGTTATTTTTTGGTCCCCACGGTCCCCACGACTACTTCAAAATTCTGTGTGTGGCTGCTTCATTTATGTCTTTCCATGAATTTCAAGGGGGTGATACCATGGAGTTGCGACATTCATCCTTCGTGTTCGATCGGGGAAACGACGGGGGTTTCCTACCATGAGCCCGACACCACACGCCGGCCACGGGAGCGCATCGGCTTCGAGGGCGAAGCCTTCCGAACCGGAGGAGAATGATGTAAAATATTATTATTACTATTATTATTATTATTATTATTATTATTATTATTATTATTATTATTATTATTATTATTATTATTATTTAACATTTATTTATATTTAGTGACTTGGTGGACAAGATAGGTTTTAGGGTTTGGGTGTCTTATTTAAAGATATCTCTTCTTTGTTATTCGGGGGGTGAATTGATAATAAGAATTGATTGAGTTTTGTGAGTTTTACGCGAGAGTATCTCGATTTACTCGTTTTATTCTTCTCACTCTTACGCTTTCCTACATCACCAATTCAGCAGCAACTGTGTATAATGTAATTATTTGTTCAACAGATAATTTCAACTCAAATATTTAATAATGCAAGTGTTAAATAATATTTAGAATTATTTTCTTAATTCATATTTTTTTTTCATAAATTAAATTATAATTTATTTTTATTTTTTCTATTTATATTGTTATCTTTTCTAAATATTTTCCTCTAGATGCACAAGTTTGATTACAAGTTTTATACTTTTATTGATAGGGCCGATTGGAATAATTAAATGGAAATGAATATTGACTATTTGAAATATAATTATTTTTATTTTCTTAAGACAACTTTTTTCAAAGGTCCGAAATATTTCGTCATACATCACCGGAAAATTTGGCTGAGGTGAAAAGGGGAAAGGGAAAAAAATCCCAAATCGCCGCCGCGTGCCGCCATTAGCACCGTGCTCGACGTCAATAAGTTCAAATCAGGTGAATCTATTACTTTACTGCTAACAGTATTTGCTAAATTGCATGAGCTAATTATTTTTACCTCTGTGAATTTTGCAACCTGGAGAATTTTGGATTAATTTTTGCAACCTCTGTTGTTCTATTGCAGTGGCTTTGTAAAAGAATATCATGTCTTGGTGCTCTATTGAGTCGGATCCTGGTATGTTATTTTTCTTTATACTTTTTTTGGGGTTTCTTGTTATTCTGTTTTGCTCATAATCACATTCACTTGTTTCTTGATTTTGAGTGTCTATGGCTCTTGTTTACCCGAAAGGGCCCGTTATTTTTAACTCATGAATACGTTTTCATTTGTATTCGTGAGCCAAAATCCGGTCTTTGGGGGAAACTGTGAATGGAGGGACAACCTTTGCACAAGTTTGTCAGTAATTTGCTATTGCATCTAGTTGGAGTTTGATGATTTTGGATGAAAACAAGATTAGCATTTTAACTTTTAGTTTCCCTTATGAATTCATAATGTGCCTAACTCAGTTACTTATTGGTGACTAGCTGCTATTGTTATTGGGTTATAACTTAGAAACAGTTTGCTTTTGTGATACGTTCCACAGCGAGCATTCTGTGACAGCTATTAGGAATAGATTACTGCATATAGTATGTGCTTGAATTTCTTTCAATCAATATCCGTTGTGTATAAGTGCTGTGCTGTTAATTTTTGTTGTGGACTGTAGGTGTCTTCACCGAACTTCTACAGCAGATGCAAGTTAAAGGTGTTCAGGTATTGTTCGTCTAATTATATATTGAAGCACCCGATGTAGGAATCGACAGACATGATGTCTTGATCGTAATGAGTGGACAGTTCATCATAGAATTGAAGTAATGTGGCTGAAGTTCTATAATTGTTGGTAGGCTCCCGTGCACTGTTCTGTAAATCCCTTGGGCCTGGCACTTTCTAGAACATTGTTCTCAGTTGGATAAATGAGTGAAAAGTAGAAGCTTATATTGATCAATTTAATGTTGGTGTACTGCAGTCACTATAAGTTGCTTTGCTCTTAGCAATATGCATCTTAACATTGTATGCGTTTAAAGTTTAAACCGATACAAACTTGATGTCAAGATCTTTAAACAGCTGTGAAATATTCAGTTTAGCTGTTCCTATTGGCAGCTGTTCATGTCAAACAAGATCTTGGTCAAGTCACAAGATAATGTTATGGGGATTGACATAATCGAGTGTTGTTTCATGTTATAACAACACTGCACATTTTAGAATTTTTGATCACCGTATTTAGTTTGTATGAGCTCAATAACCTTAAACTCGAGGAGTTATAAGTGAATCTGTTGGCTTGGATTATACATTTGAACTATTTATATAACCAATCAAATTTATGTATGCCTCTATTATCTATCAAGCAGGTTGAGGAGTTGTATTCATTGGACCTTGATTCTCTTAATAGTTTAAGGTAAATTAATATTATCATATGTATATTATTTATTCATCTACTACAGGTACACTCGTATGACTCATTTTTTTTGTACCCGCTAATTATAGGCCGATTTATGGTTTAGTATTCTTATTCAAATGGCGTCCCGTTGAGAAGGACGAGCGTCTGGTGATAAAGGATCCGAACCCAAACTTGTTTTTTGCCAACCAGGCTCGTTTTTCCTCTCTTAACCAATTCTCGAATTCCACATAAAATACTCAAAACCTTAAAAGCTCCTTGCAATATTATTCTGTTTTTCCTTTCCTTGGCAAACTATAGGTGATCAATAACGCATGCACGACTCAAGCACTCCTCTCGGTCCTCATGAACAGCCCGGAAATCGACATCGGGCCCGAGCTCTCGTCCCTGAAAGAATTCACCCGAAATTTCCCGCCTGAGCTGAAGGGCCTAGCTATCAACAACAGCGAGCCCATCCGCGCAGCCCACAACAGCTTCGCTCGGCCCGAAAATTTTTCCCCAGACGAGCGGCAGAACCCCTCTGACGACGTGTACCACTTCATCAGCTACGTGCCAGTTGACGGCGTACTCTACGAGCTCGACGGGCTCAAGGAAGGCCCAATAAGCCTCGGCCCGTGTTCTGACGGCCCAGAGGAGGACATGGACTGGATACGGATAGCAAGGCCCGTGATTCAAGAGAGGATAGAGAGGTACTCGAGGGATGAGATTGAGTTCAGTTTGATGGCTGTGATTAAGAACAGGAGAGAGATGTACACGGCCGAGTTGAAGGATTTGCAGAGGAGGAGAGAGAGGATTTTGCAGCAGCTCGGGACTTTGCAGTCGGAGAGGATGGTTGAGAGTGGTAATGTGGAGTCTCTGAATAGAGTGCTTTTGGAGATCAACGGTGGGATTGAAGGGGCTACTGAGAAAATACTTGCTGAGGAAGAGAAGCTGAAGAAGTGGAGGACTGAGAATATACGCCGGAAGCATAATTACGTGCCGTTTTTGTTCAACTTCTTGAAGATGTTGGCTGAGAAGAAGCAGCTGAGAGGGCTTGTGGAAAAGGCTAAAGTGAAACAAAACCAGTCACAGTGATATTCGAAACAAAACCAGTTTTTCGAATAGAAATTGTTTGTTTTTGTGGACTTTTTGTTGGATTTTCAGTTGATTTACATGGACATAATGTCTCTGTATTGGCGTGTGTCTCTGTGTGGACTTCAAATACAGTTAGCTACTTCAGTGAAAGGCTTCATTACTTGAGGAAGAGTTCAAAAAATTTATATTTTATTGCTGTGATAGATATGAGTGTACTACACAGACAGTACTGATTGAAAAAAAAAAAAAAAAA